CAAGAAAGCATAATGAGCACAAGTTTGCTGAACTAAGCAGAAAAAAAAGAAAAAGCCACCAAATTGTGTACTTAGCTTAAAAAAGCTAACTTTAGCTAATAAAAACACAAGCTAAAATTGCAGCAAATAGCTGTAAAAAGCAGAAAAACCTCACATTAGCAGAAAGAAGTGCATAAAACATGAAATACGCAGGAGAATTGCAGAAAGAATGAGAATTATAGCTGAAATAGTAGAACAAAGTTAACATAAGCAAAAAAAGAAGCTAGAATTAGAACAAGGAAGTTTAAAAAAAAGTAGAACCAGAACAAAATGTGTAAGGTGCTGTAAAACATTTTCAAGGATTTTAAGGATGTTGAGAACAGCTCCATTTATTTTTAATGGAGAAAATGTGACTGAAAAAGTGAAATAGCTAAAAAAAAAAAAGGTATAAATATCTGAAATACCAAAAGTCATACCCAGAATGTCCTGAAGGAGCTGATTGTTTTGATATATGAATTGTTAAAATAGCACAAAAAATTGCAGAACGAGATGTGTGCCAAAAACTGTGCGGAAGAATAAAAGACCTCTGAAGCATTTACACAATTTATAAGATTTGATATTTGATATTCATTTAATATGATTCATACTAATCAGTTAGATTTAACARATACTGCTAAAGGTTTTTGTAAGCTTTCACCATTATTTAGCTGAAAGAGTTTATTTATTTAAAAAGCAAAAATAAWGTTGTTGAAGCACAAACTTCATTAGGTCGAAAAAAAATATAGTTTTACTAAAGTTAACAGGATTCCTCCTCTGAAGACAATGAATGTAATTTGATTATCCATCCATGACTTGTAATGAAGCATGACACATGAGAGCAGAGCTGAAGGCTAACCGCTAACACGGCTAACAGCATACTGAAAACTTGTGTGAAGGAAACTTTTCTTTATTGATTCTTCTGAAGGACACCTGGTTAGAAAACAACAGCCAGGTGTGCTGCAGGCAGCAACAGGTGCTTTTTTTTAACAATGGTTTGATTAAGTTTGACTGTCAACAGAGTTAGAATGAAGTCAAGCTTAGGAGCAAAATATTTTTTTAAATAAGTATTAAAATGTAAAAATCCCTCACATGWATTAAACCACAATCTGGTTTGACACATATCGATTAGTTGAGTCTAGATTTAAAAAGATTTATTTAAAGTCCTTCCTTTGTAACGTCTTGTCTCTGACAGAGTGAGGTTCAGAAACGTCCCTGCAGGACATCAGCAGGGTCAAATATCTGACATCTGTCAACAGTCCTTAGCGTCAGGTTTGAGACCCCAACAGGAGGTTATAAGACAGTTAATACAGGTCAGCTAGCAGAATGTGGAAGGTAATAAGGATTATTCTGTTTGCCCCTGTAAATTAGTTTGGGTGCATTTGACCCGGATGAAGAGACAAAACCCTGCAACCTTCTCAGATCCTCCTCCATCACTCACCTTCATCATCCTCAGTGTCCACCATGACCGCTTTTGCTTTAGTTAGGACTGGGTGCTCTGCATGGTGTCTGTGTTCAAAAACATTCAGATAAGTTTAGGGTMATTTGTGTGAGACCAAAGGTAGACTGAGTACATTTGAGACATGTGTAYAGTTGAGACACCATCAATATCTTCTGTTTGCAGCAAGTCTTAGTCATGATTTTTACTGTGCACATGTAGATTAGTGTCCTCTTTGATAGTGGAAAATTTGAACATCATGAAAAGCGCCACTCCAAAAATATTGACAAAACTATTTTTTGGCAGGCTAGATTTTAACTTTACCATGTCCCTTCTACAGCGAATATCTTATTGCCCTTATGTGACTTCTGAATGTAACTTCGATAYATGCAAACATGATTTTGTCCCCTAAAAGAAAGCATATTTCATGACATCATGGCTTTAAAGAACATTACATAATCCAGTGAAATGTGCAACATTGTCACCGGGATACAGTTGAGACAGACTGTCTCAACAGTGGTTGAGTGGGTGACCTACATTGCTCTGTTGTCATATTTTTGAAAAGTGTCAAAAATGCATGACAACCAATGTCCCTTTTCCACTAGTGCCACTTAGTGTAGTGTCGGTACGGTCAGTGCCGGAACAGGTCAGTTTGGGTGCTTGTCCATTGACGTTCCAATCCAGTTCCAGTGGGTGTGTTTTGGGAGGTTGGTGGAGGTGGTTTTTGGGTTTTTCGAAGAAGAGTTAATGCGCGAAATGAGAGATGGAAACACATTTGCCGAATACGTTCTGAAATATAAAAAAATTTGCTAAAAATTTGAAATAAAATTGAATAGAAACACAACTAATGTCGCTACTACAATTGAAAAAAAAATTGCACCTCAAGTTGTTGTTGTAAAGGCAGTTCAGACGCAACCAATGACTCCACCCCCTAGCCAATCAGTGACTAACAGTGTTCTTATGTTGCATTTTGGTGTCAACTGGGACGTCTTGGATCCACAACCTAGTAGGTACCAAAAAAGGGCAGGTTCYATGAATCTGGCCTAATGAAAAGGGGCTCAAATGTCCCAAACCCTAAATTTAACTTCTATTAGCCCTAGACATCCTATCCCTGACCCTACTACCTAAAATTAACAGTAATCACTAAAATGTATCATTTTTGAAAAGTGTAGAAAATGCTTGACAACCAACCATCTCAAACCCTAAATTKAATTTCTRTTAGCCCTATCCTATCCCTGACCCTACTACAATAAGGTACACAAAAAAGCTTAACTACTGAGGAACTACTCAGAGGCTACTGAGTAGTTACTGAGTAGTTACTGAAGACACCAAATAGTAACTACCGAGTAGTTACCAATGACACATACCAAGGTGTCCACTTAACTTCTTTTAGCCCTTTACATCCTATCCCTGACCCTACTACCTAGAATTACCCGTCCATCCGTTTTCTTACGCTTATCTGGGATCGGGTCGCAGGGGCAGCAGCCTAAGCAGAGAAACCCAGACTCCCCTTGGGCCAGCTCTTCCGGGGGAATCCCAAGGAGTTCCCAGGTCAGCCGTGAAATATAGTCCCTCCAGCGTGTCCTGGGTCTTCCTCTGGGC